GTACGAGCGGCCGAGACTTTTCTTCCTGGCAGCGATGTGCAATGTCGCATCGCAGACGTAGTCCACCGTCACAAACTCCATGCGCTGGTTGGGGAGATGCGGGAACGCCCCGAGGCGGATCGATCCCATGAACAGGCGGGACACGAAGTCATCCGGATTGCCGGCGCCGTGGCGGGTGTCCCCGAGGACGAACCCGGGTCGATAGATCACGGCGGGAAGGCCGCGGTCGCGCGCGCCTCGGACCATCTGCTCGGCGACCCACTGACTGGCTGCGTAGCCGATGTCAAATGCAAGGGACCCAATGTGTGGGAGCAGAGGCTCGTCCTCCAGGAGCGCCCGTGTCCCGTAGATGAGGCCGGTCGCACCCCACGCGTCGAGACTGGACATGTAGTGGAAGGGTTTCCGGCGACCTTGCGCCGCCAGCTCAAGCAGGTTCTTCGTTCCGAGAACGTTGGGCTCGAAATGGGCCGAGTAGGGCTCGCAGTAGTTGACCTTGGCCGCGATGTGGAAGATCGCGCTGGTCCTGTCCGCCAGTTGGGTGTAGTCGCCGGCGGATAACCCAAGCTCCTTCTGCGTGATATCGCCTTCGAGGACGGTCAGCTTGTCGAGGCGATCCGCCACTCGTTCGTGGAACTCATAACGCCTGAGAGTGTTCTCGACGCGCTGCCGGGGGGTCTGGCCGCCCTTCGCGCGCGCAAGGCAGACGACCTCCTGCACCTCCGGCATCTTGAGCAAGCGAGAGAAAAAATGCGCCCCCACGAACCCGGTGACCCCGGTCAGGAAAAGACGGCCTTCCCCTGGAGCAGTCCAGTCTACGACTGAATCCCACTCCCGGGCGGACCAGGTCGGATTGATCTTCAGGTCATCGGCCAGTCGGGCATCAGCGATCCAAGTATCGGCCTCGTCGGGAGCATTGCCGCCTTCGACGAACTCGCCCAGATAAGCGACCAGCTCGTGGAGACGGGAGTTCTCCACCAGCCCTCGCATGGAGATTGTTCGGCCCGTGTGCTCGCGCAGTTTGGCAATCAGGGCCGCTGCCTGCAAGGAAGTGCCCCCCAATCGGAAGAAGTCGTCATCTTGGGCGAAAGACGGTTTGTTGAGCAACGAGGACCATAGGCCCTTGACGATGGCGGTGGTGTCACGGCTGTCCTTACATTCGAACTTCTTGTGCTCGCGCTCCGTCAGATAATTCTGAATCAATGCCTTGCGATCAATCTTCCCATGATCGTTCAAGGGGAACTCCTGGAGGAACACGATATCGCTGGGGATCATATATGCGGGCAGCCTTTCCCTAAGGTATTCGTCGAGCTTTCCGAGGCGTAGAGTATCAGCAATAGCGGGAATGACAAACGCAACGATGAACGCCCCCACGCTCACGCTGCTGCCCGGTACCTGCACGACGACAGCGCCCACGAGCTGACCGCTAGCGAGTAGCATGTGCTGGATCTCTTCAAGCTCCACGCGAAAGCCGCCCTGCTTGACTTGAAAGTCCGTGCGTCCGGCAAATTCGAGAACATCGGCCTCACCTTTTCTCCATTTGGCTCGGTCACCGCTCCAGTAGTACCGCAGGCCGTCTTCGAGCTGCACGAACCGATACTGATTCTCTTCGGGGAGGCCCACGTATCCGCGTGTCAAGCCGGGCCCAGTGAGAAGAATCTCACCGACGACGCCGGGGGCGGTGATGGTACTGAGATCCTCATTCACCAGACGAAGGCGTCCATTGCCGAAAGGTTTTCCGAGGCCGATGTTATCATACTGGAACTCTGACGGGGTGACCAGATGCATCACGGCATGGGTCGTGATCTCAGTAGGACCGTAGGTGTTCCAGAGATGTTTCGGGGGCAGAGACGAGTTTACGACAGCCTTGACTGCTCCGACGTTGGCAATACTTCCGCCGATCAAAAGGTGCTTGACGTTGTGGAAGGTGGTCGGGCAGGCGTGGGCGATGATGCCGAACAAGGTGGCGGTCAGATAGATGACCGAAAGTCTCTTCTCCACGATAAACTCGCGGAAGGTGAAGGGGTCGGTGACCACCATGCGAGGCACGATCACGAGCGTCGCTCCTCCGATGAGGCCGGAGAAGATCTCAAACAGGGAGATGTCGAAGCCGGGATTGTTGATGATGGCGACTTTGTCGGTCGGGTCGAGGATTCCGAGCGGACTCTTGGTTGCCAAATGCAGAATGCTTCGCTCCATGACCTGCACCGGCTTGGGCTTTCCGGTAGATCCAGAGGTGTACAGGATGTGGCTGCGATAGTTGGGGTTTTGGCACTCCACGAATGCGTCTTGAGTGCCATCGACACCGTCGGCGCAGCCAGCACGGTCCGCATCACGGGTCTGCCATTCTTCATTGCGGACTGTGATGGGAAGGACCGTAAATTCACCATCCAGAAGAATGCCTTCCGAGTCCGAAAGAACATATCTTGCACCCACATCTTTGAGAATACTCATGAGGCGCAGCCTGGGCGTACATGTAATCAAGGGAATACATGTCAAGCCAAGGCGTATAAGAGCCAGCTGAGCGACAACGACTTCAACACCGAGATTCGCCAGGATGCAAACTGGCTCTTCATGTTTGAGGTCGTGCTCCTCGAGCATGGAGGTGAGGCTGGCTACCTTCTGCTCGAGCTCCTGATAAGATAGTTTGCGGTCGCCATCTTCGACAGCCATCGCCTGGGGGCGTTTCGCGGCGTGGGATGAAATGATCTTGTCGATAGTGGATTCAAACAAGGACCCCATTTTCGATGTCGGTCTGAAATAAGATCTCAAGCTATTTCGTTCGGTTTTGAGTTCTTCGCTCGGCTTTGGACTTGGAATTCGTAATAACCAATGCGAAAAGGTCCACAGCTTGCACAAAAACTGAGGAACAGGGCCGCTTATACCTTTGCCCTCAGCCTCCAGGTTGGCGGGGTATATACCTTTTCAAGATATGAGATGCTTCTCCTTGGCTCAAAACCTGAAATTCTCTATGTCTGTTTCGATTCAACAGTCTGCCAGTCATGGGATAATTGTGTTACGTGTCACAAGTCTGAATAGCATCATTGTAGCATCGGGTTGACAAGTTCCATGGTTTGCGGCGTGCCATGACGCGGTGCCTGGCCTTCGAGGTCTGATCTGATAACCATCAGGATACGACAACAAACAGAAAATAAGCCAAAGACTTGACTGTAGTGCTTGCAGATGCTTGCAGATATCATCACTCAAGCCACAACATTGAAGGTATCCAGGCTTTTTTGTCATTCACAGATCTAGTGTGTACAGCAAACTTTCATCGTCCTACTGAAATAAAGGGCTATGCCAGGAAGGGCAACACCCGTCGGCAGGCCCTGACTTTGCCGCATTCAGACTTTGGTACAAGGTGGGACACGTGCAGACAATTCCGGATTGTACGGGCATAAGCGTTCACATGTTCTGTTTACTGACTGAATGGCCAGGTTCCATGGTCCGACACCGGGAAGTCGGGATTCTCCAATGCTCCTCCGACGTCACGAGGCTTCCGAAACCCCTGACCCCAGCTGAGCCGTGAACATGAGTCTGTCCTGCGCGATGTTTATGACGAGTTGTTGTGATCTGGGATTGGCGAACGGTTTCTGAGGCGTAGGTTTGCAGTCCAAGCCTGTTTGCAGTTGTTTACCATTGTTTACGCGACAGCTTGCGAGCGCATTTACCTGGACGCGGCGTCATGGGTCGGGCTAATTCAATCCAGCACATATTGATCTCCACGTCTAGAGCATGCGACTGCAGTGGTCGTGATATCATCTTCTACTGGATAAGAAATACCCCGATTGTTTACTACTTGGGTCATGAATCCATCGAGACATGACAACTGAGACTAGCTTGTGATGAGTCCCAACATCCAAGTCGCTGTCTGTCATCGTTGAGACCCACTTGTTGGTAGCAATAGGAAATGCCTTTTGAGCTGATTTGTCGTGGGACATCTTCTTGGTTGAATTGGATTGGCATCATGACTCGACAAGTTATCATACTTCACTCTGACTGAATGTGTCATCTCTGTAGACAAGCGGGCCATCTTCTTCTCATAGATAAAACAAAAAATGGCTGAAGGTAAAAGCTCGGAGAAAACAAAGATGGCTAAAGTGGTGTTATGATAGAGACTCTATCCTCCATGACCAGAGGATATGAGATAGAACAGCTTCTAAAGTCCAAGATTATGAACTGCAAACAACGTTCATTGCATATGACCCAGAGTGAAAGTATCTCACTGGATTTAACCAATCAAGGTATATGATTAGGGAGATAGAACCCTTCAAAAAGAGATACTAAGAGAAATAAGCTCTTAACCGTTGGGCGAAAAGGTATCTGGTGCCCATTGGGGAGAGTGGTAGGGCTAAGTCCTTGGGGGCGATTGACACATTCCGCACCTCGATCAGACTTTGTGAACTGCTTGGGCTTGGAATGGTCGAATCGAAATCCAGGCAGAGCGATGCTCAATGCCTGTGCTGTTCATGTATGATTTGTTCAATAACGTTTGGAGTGTTCCGTTGTTTGCACTATTCGTTCGCCCCCGGAGAAGATCAGACTTCACCAAGGATCGAACTCACGATATACGACTGTGACGGAAATAGCCCTATCCATACAGTCACAAGGTAATCAGATACCTGGTCAGTCGGGTCGCTTTTGGTACTATACCTACAAACTCAAAAGCTAACATATACTTTGTATTGCCTTCATTTTTTATGTGATTCCTCCGCCCATGATCATTCAGAGTAGTCTGGGGCACGCTCAGGTATCCTCTATCAAAGATAACAAGCAGCAAGTACCTAGGCCTGGGTGTTTTTGCCTCCCAGCAGGATCTGAATCAGCAACAAAAAGACGCATCGGGCTATCGCTGCGTAATTCATTAGAATTATTACCATTACATTAAGACATTACATGCCCCGTAACCAGGCCTAATTCACCATCCATCAACAAACCTCAACGCTCGGAGACCATAACCAACAGACCCCCACCTTGCACGCCCAGACCAATACCCCTCATCATCAAATCAACTCATTCCTCGGCGTCCCCATGAGCTCACTCACCGGCCGCAAACTATCCCCCCTCTCCGAGTCAGCCTCCACATCTGCCGCCGGAAGTTCCGCAATCAGTGTCTCCGCCCCGGACAACCGCGACATCCGTGACCCGTCAAACGGGGATTTCGGCTGCTCAGCCATCAACGGAACAGTATGATACAAATGCTGCTGCTGCGGTGGCGGCAATGGTAGCTGTGCAGACGATCCATCCCCGCGCCCTCGTCGCTGCCGACGGCGATACATGAAGATGAACGCCCCGGCCAGTGACAATACCAGAACGCCCAGCGGAACTCCGAGCCCGACTCCCACTTTCTGGGCGGTGGTGAGGCCTTCCTTTGCGATGGCTGTGGGTTTTTCGTTAGAGGTGGATGAGGATGATGTCGCTGATGCTGGTTCTGCGGTTGCAGAGTATGGGTTGGCGGCTGCGGTGGTGGAGGAAAGGGTGTTTGTCGAAGACGTGGAGGTGGCCGAGGAGGTTGCAGTCGCGGTCAAGGAGGATGTGCCACCAAAATTATAGGAGGTCGGTGCGGGGTCGTTGGTGTATCGCGGGTCGACGCCGAAGGGGACGCTAGTCAGGTTGGGGAGGATGAGAGAACCGTCGTCGGTGAGGGAGACAAGCTCGAATGCACAGCCTGATTCTGTGTAGTGGTCTCGGGTGGCGTTCCAGACGTAGCTTTGTGTGTTGGAGACGTTGGCTTTGCATCATCAGTGTCGGCGGTGCTTGTGTCTAGGGTAATAGAGCTGAAGGACCTACATTCTAAGAGGACGGCCGTGGCGCACATCTCATAGAGCGAGATGCGCGGTGAGACCGAGTCCCAGGTGACATTGACCAGGTCTCCGACAATGAATTCGTCCACGTCGGTGGTAGGGAAGGTGAAACCTTCGCCGCGGACGAGACCCTGTTGCGACGTTGTTAGAAGCCATAAGAGTAGCGGGCTGCTCCATGCATGTCCCGGGAGTGCCATCTTGCGTGAGAGGTATCGAGTGCCAGATAACCAGTGGCAGCGGCCAGCAGCGCCGTAGGATCTTTTTAAAGAAGTGGGCTTCCCTCTAGCGTAATTGATCTTGGAGGGTACTCCGCCTCAGCCATTGCACCGTGCTAGCAGCTCGTCTGTTATGGTCGAATAACCGGTTTGCCCACTGTCTACGCCCGCAGCCATGCTAGGCTGTGCTCAATTTAGCCATCGACAGGGATCTCTACAGCTCGCCTGTATTACCTATCTACCATTGGGGGAAGCTATGAGATAGGCAAGGGCTAGTGCTCACTAAGAACATACCCCTGTCGTTGGGCTGGGCCGGGTTTCCCTCCGGCTCAACTAAGAAACTGTCCACCTGGATGATTTTCTCGACGGTTTGGGTGGGATTCTGGGTTAGTTATATGCGGTGTAGTGATGTAGAAAACGGCAAGCTACCGCAGACTGTCATGACTGCTTTTTGGCTGATTTAAAGGGTATATTCTATAGAAATCAGGGTTAGGTGCTGGCCTCGTCCCATGTGGGGTTACAGCCACCGGTCCCGGATTAAGCTAGAGGTAAGAGGCTACTGCAAGCGAGCAGTCCCATGACAACACGATTATAGCTAGAACAGATTTTGCGGCGGGTTGTCCGGTCTGTAACTACTGCTAGTGCATGGAGACTATTGGAACGATCGCACATGGGCAGTGTGGCTAGCTCGTGGTTGTTCAACTAATAAGACAAATTGCTCACACTGGTCCGCACAACCAACGGGACGGGATATTCCATGCCTGAGGCAATAATAGATGGAGAGCAAGAGGGGGAGGGGAAACAAAAAGATGGAGCTGCGGGGAATCGAACCCCGGACCTCTCCCATGCTAAGGGAATATTATACCACTAAACCACAGCCCCAATTGTTGAGACGAGGCTTCCAACTTGGTTTTCTGTTCTTACTGCTACTAGGACTGGCACAATCACCCAAAACACAATAGGAGTGCTTTTGTCACAATGGACGAAAACTGTATATTCTGGGAATTCGTGGAGCCAGATACAGTATACATACAGGGCACTCTACACTTCTTATACTACTAGCCAGATAGGTTTACCATAAACATACCTTTCAATACAATGATTGGGCATTCTTGTGCATCACTTTACCCTTGCCTACAGATATAGAATGCCACAACATTGCCAATACTAACCCTGACGCCAATTGGAGAATTCCGTTGTGTGAGCTAGTAATGAAACACTGGAAAGTCTAATTCATATAAAGTCTAGATGTCCCAGAGACAGCATTCATTTGATCATGATCTCATCACACCCCACCATTCAAGCCCTCTTCACATCCCCCACCGCAACAGCAGCCTCAACATCGACCATCTCCCCTCCTCCCGGACTGGACCCCCCCGACCCCACCTCCCCGCTGTACTTCCGCCTCCTCAGCCCCGCCAACGACACACTGCCCCCATCGACCAGGTACATATACCAGTAATAAGTCCCTGGAACGCATATGGTCAGCACAACCCACGTCTCTCCATTCCTTCCCACCATGCACCCAAAGAAGAAAACCCACCAGCGAAAAATCCACCACCGAGTATGTTCCCAATCAAGGTGGGGATAATCCCCTTCCAGATATACAGCCCCACCGAGAGGCCCGGGGCCTCCAACCAGATCCCCAGCGGGATGAAGGTCATATTCGCGACAACGTGGTCGAAGCCCATGGACACGAAGGCGAAGATCGGCCACCAGATGCCGATGATCTTGGACGCGAGGTCGCGGCCCTGCAACCCGAAGAAACAGGCGAGGGAGACGAGCCAGTTGCAGCCGATGCCGCGGAGGAGGATTTCGTGGAAGGACGGGGTGAGTTGCTTCTTGGTGGCGTAGTCGATGGCTTCGGATTTGTAGGGGTCGGCGGTGAAGATGCCTCCGTCTGGGGTGAAAATTAATATTCAGGTCAAAGGTTGGGGGAGGAAGAAAAGGACGCACAGCCGAAGATGACGGCGACGACGAAGAGAGAGCCGCACAGGTTGCCCCAGAAGGTGACGAACCAGTGGAGGAGCATTTTCCACCAGGGGAGTTGGCGTTGGAGGGCGGCGACGGTTGTGAACTGCCAGACCTGGGGGTTAGATTTCATGCAGCCACATCTCCAAGAGGGGGATCGAGAAATACCATGAAAGAACCGGTGCAGAGGTCAGCCCCGGTTAGGATGATCATGCACAGACCGTAGGGAAAGACCAAGGCGCTGATGGTGCGGAGCAGCCCGGGTGCATTCTCCGTGAACCACGGCGAGGAATTGGTGCTCAAGGAGGTTCCGCAGGCGAAGGCGAGCAGAGAGCCCGCCGATACAGCGCTGAAGAAGACCTTGTCCAGACGCATGTGGCCCTTGGTGGCGCCGGTGCGGGCAATGAGCTCGACCACCTCGGCCGGGGAGAACGAATCCAGGCTGATGGAGGACATGGTGAGTGGGAGGGAATTGAGGGAAGCACACTGAATTGGAAGGCAGGGACGAGCAGCGAGACCGGGTATATGTATGCAGTATTATTGTGGGTGTGAGCCCTTGGTATGCGACCGGTCGGCAAATTCCAGGCCAGACCCCCACAGCAGTCAGCATTATGGACCTCTCTGCGGATACGAGCAAGACCGATGCAACGAATGGGCAGTGGGATGAGTGGTTAGATCGTCGGGGAAGCCTCTCGGCTAGGAATAAGGTTCGGATCCGGGCATGCAGATCAGAGATAAGTCTCGCAATCCGACAACTCACAACGCTGAAGCTTATCTAGTCTGATGGGGGGGTCCTCCGCGGAAAGACGGAAAGGCCATATTCTTGGCCTAGTTACCCCAACACAGTCCCCCTCATAGGCCCATTTCGGTAGCGAGGGGGCTAGTCGAGGACCTAACGGGAAACTAGTGATATATAAGCAAAGGCTTGCTGTACCAAGCTGTATTGAGCGGGTACTCCGGGGAATCTTAGGTTGCTTGGTTGCTTGGTTGCTATTGAGTCAGATCTGCACTCTCCACACAACCTGCTGAGCGCCCATCCAGACCGCTCTTTTTACACCTACTATGCAGAGGTTTGTTGATGTTTTCACTGTTTTGCTTGAAACGTGGCTGAGGTATATATTTTCATGCAAATTTCACTCTAGCACATACGACCACAGGGTGTGGAAAACAGGGCTTCCCGTCCGCTCAGCCGTGCTTAAGCCACACGCCGGGAGGTTAGTAGTTGGGTGGGTGACCACCAGCGAATCCCTTCTGTTGTATGTTTTTTTGCTCTCATATCCTTTTCTTTTTCTCTCCATCCCAGTTCTTGATCCGATTTCGAGTAGTCATGTAACTTAGTATGGCTTATTGCGACTTGGTGCCAGAGACTGTGTCGCAGCTCCACCCGCAGCCTCTGCATTGCCTCCTGGTGTAGCGAGAGCTCCCGCAGCGCCCACAGGAGCACCAGCGTGGGCGCTGGAAAGCCACGCGTGGTATTCTCGAGGCCGAGCCCGAGACATCACACCATGTCCAGGGCGTAGCTTTGGAGGTAGAGGTGGAGGTCGTCGCCCGTGCCCGTCTGCAGAAGGGCTTGGACGTGGCGCCACGCGATCGCCACGAGCTTCGGGTGGAACCCTTCCAGGGGCCGGCGGTGGTGAAACCCACGAAGCATATCCGCATGCCACTGCCAGGCAATCTCCCTATCGGCGGTAATCAGGGCATTGCGCATGATGCGCGTGCCGGTGCCAAAGGGGCCTTGGGGTCTGGCTTCCACACTGGCTGATGGAGTCGGCATTCTGGACGAACAGCCGCCGGATCATGACCGGATCACGAAGGTAGACGACAGGCAGGGCCCCGATCAGGGCCCATAAGATCCCTTCCTCAGCCGCGCCGTCGAACAGGGCCCCCATGGAGGTGAGGTAGAAATCTTGGGACCATCGCTCCGACAAGAGCCCAGGGTCGGAAAGCAGGAGACGTACGGGACATCGGGCAGAGGGTTGACCCAGCTGCCAAAGAGGGAGTGGAGCGCAGCAGGAAGCGTCGATAGCATTGTCTTTGCGGCGAATGCGAAAATGTTAAGAGAGCAGGCAAGACGGAACTGCAATCAAACCGGGTTTATCAACCTGTGATCCAGCCGGAGAAGCGAGGAGGGGAGGGTAATGTGCGAGGCATTGTATCTGTGCAACTCTCTATCTTGTTTATTCCCGATTCAAAAGTTCTGTGTAGAGTCGGCCTGGAGCATAATAACTTGAAATTTGAAAGCGATTACCGGCTCTTTGCCCGGTGTCAAACCACCTGAACAGGATGAACTTGCATCATGGATTGCATTAGTGGATAGGGTCTCGTTGGAGTTGATTGTCTGTTGTCCGTTGTTTGTATCCGATGGACCGCACTTTGGCACTTTGGCAGCTGCAGGTGGGCCACGGTCAGCCCTTCCTTAGCTTTCTCTAGCCTTGATTCAAGACTGGACTACAGTAACTTCAACGGCGTTTGTACAACTGAGCGGCTGTTTACGGAATCACGTGAGACTGACATTTATGATCATCATCAAGCTCAATCCGTTCCCGCAATTCTGTCCTCTGCTCAGCTCATCGTTCACCCACTCACTCCGCATCTTCCTTGCCCCGCAATCAACAATGGTGCGTTCCAAACTCATGTGGACAGGGCTCTTAGTCGCCTCTCTTCTATCAGTTACCATGACCTGGCGGGTCTCGAACAACCGCACGGTGACCACCGCAATCCCCGCGTCAGCCAACCCGGATACCATCCGCCAGCTGCTCCAAGATCAACCTCTCTTCATCAAATTAAATCCGGTGGTCACTGGCCTGAGCCTCGCGCCCACCGCATCCGAGCGGTACGAGGACGAGTGGCTCCAGACTCCAGCGAAGGCGGGAACCCGAACCCCGCCAATCCAAACATACCTCCTCAGCCAGGCAATCACGGTTATGCCCGGCGCAGGCGGATGGGGACAAAAGCATATCCACTTCGAGACCTGGCTACGAGATACCCCGACCGGAGTCAAGACCCGGGCGGATGCCCCCTTTGGCGTGTCGGTGGCGAGCCATTGGGCTGTTGAGCCTACCGCGTTGTTGTCCGACTCACAAGGTCCACAAGGTAAGAAAGGAAGAGAATGGAGAAGCAACCAAGTTCGGACACTGACGCGGAGACTAGAATGGCGGCTCACGGTGCAAAGAAGAATTACATGTGTATGGTGGATGATGCCGTTTGTGGCCTACACATACGACGAGGTCCATGCCAGCGTCATTCGGGATTTGATTGAGCTTGCCAGCTGATGGATTGGCCGGTCACCCATGTGGTGCCTGTGGATGGAGCTCGTGCAGAATCATAAATATCTTTCTCGCGACGGTCACCTTGGATGGTGCGTTGAACACAACGTAGGCGGTATACCCGGGTGAATATAGAGGTGGTGTGTGGCTGTATATGCCCAACATGAACCTCAGGTTTGTGCGCAGAACTGAATTGAGAAACTAAGCGCTCTTCCGTTTTGAGTACTATGGTCGAATCCATCATCAGGTAGAATATAACCTATGTCTGAGACAGACAAACTATGGCTGTGCAGGATGGGCGCAATACCCCTCGCCAGAGTATACAGCCGTCCAGCATACCCCAAAACCCCAGGATTTAATTCCCCAGTACTGCCTGGTCCGCGCGACCCACTCCTCAACCGAGATCGCAGGCTCGGTTCCCACCTGAATATTGCCTTCACCGACCCTCTCCCGTCGGGCCGGATCATATGCGGGGACGTACAGCATTTCATGGTCCGGCGCACAGACATCACACAGCTCCAGTGTCCCCTGGCGCAACCGCTCCAAGCAAGCTCGGTCGAATTGGACATCCTGGCATTCTTTGCAGACATAGAAGTCGTTTGCGTACGTCCAGGTGGTCCCGCACTTCCCATCACACCGGGCCAGAAGAGGGCCCTCAAGCTTCTTGTTCTCGACATGATTGTCTCCTGTTGCGCCGTAGTGGAACTTGGGGACAATCATCGACCAGGCCGCGAGGGCCTCGTCGTCCAAGTCCAAGAACATGAAGTGGAACGCGAGGCGGAAATATCCGTCCGGATCGTTCAGCGGGTCCGTGTCCGAGAGGATGTCAAGGCCGATCTTGACGTGGGCGCGCAGCACGGCTTGGGCTTTCCCCAAGTCGCCCCGCAGGGCATGATATCGGGCGAGCAGCCGCGCGGGATACTGTTTGTCGGCCCAGGTGTGGTACTCCGCGGTGCTCAGCTCCGCGAGTTGCTCCAATTTGGTCAGCCAGAGGGCTTCCGTGCGTTCAGATCGCTGCTGCTGCTGCTGCTGCTGCCGCGCTTCGTGAAAGTAGGCGAGTGGGAGCCTCCGTCTCACCGCATAGTAGACGTGTTCCAGGGGGTTTGTATGTTCCATTTGCCAGAGACGTTCCCACTCTTCGATGGCATTCATCCTGCTCGCAACATCCTGGTTGGAGTGTTCGTAGCGCAGAAGCGCATGGTAGTACATGAGAGTTCCCTGGCGGCCCTGCTGAACCTCCGCCCACTCTTCGTCACCCGCCGCTTTGGCCTTGACACACTGATCTGCCGCATGGGCGATTGACATGCGATAGTGATTGCAGGCCATACCAAAGGTTTCGATATTCTTCCGCACCAAAGTGAAGAGGATGTCGTGGAAGTCCTTCTCGTCGCTGAGTAAGCAATATGCCCTGGTGAGCTGGTTGAGTGGCGGAAAGTCACTTGGAGTATCCTCCATAGACTGTAGGAACTGCAGCAGACGGCTGTATTGGGCCCCCTTGCGGCATATCCGCATGATTTCGAGAACGGGACGGTAGCTGTTGGAGTAGTCCTGCATCAGAGCCTCGTACATGGCAAATGCCCGGTCCGGTTGGCCACTGGCATTGTACCACCAAGCCAGCTGCTGCCGCATAGAAGCAAGGAACCAGACGGGCTCGTCAGGAGAACCTTCGGGAATGTGGTTCAGCTCAGCCAGACCTTTAGCTGCCTCCAACGTCTGTATGGCCGATGCAAAGTCCTGATTGTCGGAGTATGCTTCTGCAAGGCGCCACTGCATATTCCAATCGCCCGGTGTAAGGGAAATCGCGAGCTTGTATTGCTCGATTGCCTCGTCAAACTTTCTGTAGGCGTGCAATGTCATCGCAAGAATGAAGATGGCCTTGCTTTTTGGAACCTCTGGCTTTACTTGCTGTCTGCCCCAGTCGACCGCGGCAAAAATTCGGGAGATCTCCAGCTCCCAAATCTGCGAATCGTCGGTCACGCGATGCACCTGTGGATTCTTTCGATGTTCGACCTACATAACATAGACCCAATCCAATGATTAGCATTCTGGAAGAACCGAGTGAATTCTAGAGAGCGAAGTGTACCTTACTGAAGTACCCATATACATTGGGAAAGACGGAGTATATATCCTTGAGATCCTCGATGTGGAGCAGCCACTCCGCTGTCCAATGCCGTGCAATATGTTCCAACAGGTCCGCATCAGGTTCCGACTTAGTAGTCAGACTTCTTACCCAGTCTTTCTGCGTTTCGGAGAGCCCTTTGATGATGGCAGATTCCTGTAGCCATTTGACCACGACCTCCGAGTATGAGTCTGTGTAGATCCAAGCCAATCGTAACTGGGCGTCATAGTAACCGGCACGTCTCCACCAGCGCTGGATAGTCTGAGGATCCTGGAACAGCTTCACTAACGGGGGCCCTAGAGCCAGCTTATCTTGAACTTCGACCAGCGAAGGATCCAATTGGGTTAGATGGTGGGCGAAATGATTCATTGCATATCCCAGCAGGGGTCCCAGGCCACTTGATAGGTCTGAGTTGATCACCTTCAGACAAGTGCTGAGCATTCGTAGATGTGCCGTATCCTCTGCGTCAATCCCGATCGGTGCGGCCGTCTTCCCCTTCAGCAGCTGGCCAAAATACTGCTCGAAGCCAAGCTTCCGGAAGAGGTCGGGGTCGCAGACCGACTCCAGGAACCGACGGACAATGCGGATTTCGCCTTCTGTGGCCTGCCCGGAAAGACTCGATGCTGGCTCGTGAAGGATGGCCATCTTCTGAGCCCTGGCTCCCGCTCGATCGCGGAGGAACTGCTTGACGGCGTCCGACGCGAATACCACCCGCGAGTACGGGGGAAAATCTTTCCTCACATCGCCGCGCGCCACGCCCACGACCGAGATGAGAGCGGAGTAGTGGTCAGTGATGATCATCCACAGCGGTTTTAGCGAGCGCTCCCCGTTCTTTAGAAGCAGCACGGTTTCCAGCTGGGCGAGCAGCACCGGGTCGGGAGCGTACATCATCCAGGTGAGAATCTCGTTCAGATCGGTGATATCGTTTTCGCGGAGAGTCTCGTTTAATCGTGCTATTTTCCTCGCGAAGGTGTCCTCGCGGTTGCTGCTGCCCGAGCGTGACAGAATGGCTCGAATGTCGCTTGGGCGCTGCTGGACGCCGACCTCGTCCAACAGCAACCCGGCATTAATGAAGTCGCCGTGCGCCTTTGCCGTCAGGGCTTCCATCACCTGGCTCCGAAGGGCGCGACTGTCCTCCGATGAGCCGGCTAGATTCTCCAGCCGGTCGATGCGGTTCTCTATGAATTGGTGCAGGTCCGCACTGTTCTTGAGCGCCAAATCGATGACTGGAACCACTTCGTGCCCAAGCTGGTCCTTGAACCTGCCGACCGCGTCATCCTGTCCAGAGAGGAGAATCCGGAGCCTGAGTCGCCCCAAGGTTGCAGACTCATTTTGCAAGTGCGCGAGGAGGTAAACAAACTGTTTGAGCTGCTCGCGGTTGACTTGTTCAAGACCATCCAAGAGAAGGAAAAAGGTCGAGTCGGTCCTGTACGACTTGGCAAATAGTTGATTCCACAGCATTCCCACGTCCGCGGCAGCACTGGCGGTTTGGGTGGAAACCAGCTCCTTGCGGTAAACCGGATCAGTATTCGCGATTTGCCATGCAAGCACTTTCAGAGCCCGGATCAGCGATCCAGCAGTCCCCCTCTCCTGGTCACAGAAACAGTAGGCAACTGAAGTACGCCTTGAATCATCCGCTATCGGGGAGTGGCTCTCCTGTAAGTTCTTGATCGCACTTGTGAAAAGCAACGACTTCCCGTATCCCTCCCCTCCTGCGATCCCTAGTATTGACATCGATGGGTTTTCCATTTGTGCCCACGAGGTATAGAAGGGATCTGCTGCGAGCCACTCGCCACTTCCAGCGACCCTCTTATCCAGGAGTCGCCGGAACCTGGACTGATTCGCCCGCCAGCTTTCGCTCGGCTTGTCGAGCGTCCTGTCCAGATCCTCCAATTCCTTCTTCGTCTGATGATCTGTATTTCGTTTCTTTTCCAAATCGAGAATTTCGGTCACGGTGACATTGATCTTCTTGGTTCCCTCCTTGGCTTCGAGGATGCCCCTCTCGCTAATCTTCTGCGATTCAAACCCCAGAGTAGCCCGCATCTGGGATTCTCGCTCGACCAGGCTCTCCAACCGAGCCAGCTGCCCGCTGACGCCCTCATCTTCACCAAAGGCAAAAACCTTGATAGCGATCAGAACCTTGTGCCCCTTCAGCACCTTGATTGAGAGTGCACAAATATCCACGAAGCACAGCAGTTGGTCGTTGATGATCCTCCTCAGGGCAATGTCCACCGCATCCGGCGGCACACGCATGTAGATCTGGAGGCGGTCCAACATATCAGACACTTTCCGGAAGAGTTCCGCCAAACTGCTGAAAATCCGCTTATATTTGGCTCCGGTGTTGATCAGGTATGCGACCGCGTTGAAGCAAAGACTGCTGGGGGCGAAGACCTGCGTCATCACAAGTTCAGTTGCTTTGTCTCCTGGCGTGAGGTGGGTGGTAGTAGCCTGGGGCCCTTTACCATACTCGCGCCTTGTGCGGCAATGCCACCCAACAGTCCAACAAAGGTCAACGTCTTGTTCATCACGGTCTTGAGTTCTTGGTATTTGGCATTCTTTTCATTTGCCTCGTCTTGCTTGGCCCGGATCTGGTCCAGAACCTCTTCGATGGTGTATTTGGTGGGGGCGCTCTTGAGGTCGGCGTTGGTGGTCTGCATGAACGAGGTGCAGACCCGGTCCCATGCCTCCTGCAAGTTATATTCATCCTGCTCTGACTGTGGGGTCGTCATCGTGCCCGTTCTCTTTGCGACTGATGGAAGAGGCCAACTGTTCTCAGAATGATAAAGACAAAGTTCAGGCAAACGGCGAGAGTGTCGCACGCTCTGCTGGGCATAAGTTGCGGGTTATATTCAGTGCATCGCCCGTGTCGCTCTCCTTTTCTCGCAGCTGCGGCTGATGGAGATCTTATGACGCGCGTCCATTCTCATAGCAAATAACCAATTAAGCCTCTGGATTTCTGGATAGTTACATCGACTACTGCATGAGCGACTGTGATGACCGTGCTGATTTGACGTGGTCGTAGGAGAGAAGGCATAAGCGAGGTGGGCATAGGAAATTCCTACCGACGGGAAGGAAGTGGCGTGCGGATTCGCCCGACTGACAGCACCGACAGCACTTGTCATCCAACGCAGGGAGGAGTAAAGGAGGAAACAAGTCCTGAGGCCTAGAAGGAGACTCGAGTTAGACAAGTGGGAAAACACCAGATCTGCATAGCCACTTAGTATCTCCATGAGTGGCGGGCTGACTAGGTCAGCCAGGCCTCCGAGCCTCTGTCATAATAGCACTGCCAGTACGAAGTAGCCAGCGGTTGGCGGTGAAGTGATGTATGGATATACATGGATAGAGAATGAAGAAATAACAGACTCGATCAAATAAAAGTGAAGATCAAAATCAAGTGAATAGTTGGAACAACGGAGTGGGGTTGGAGCTCTTGGAGTCGAAGCTAAGCTTTGACGCTGAGCAATCTCACTATCGCGGAGAGACAACTTTCGTTTCGTCGCATGAGTGCTCTATCAGCCGGGATAAGCAAATGATAAAAGAGTATCTTTTACTCGTCGCCCTTTAAAATTTAATTTTTATATAAAAATATTTTAACAGAATCTAATAAAGATTCTGTTAAGCAATCATGCATGAGGGGTTTAGAGTGGGGCGGCTGAGCTCTAACCTGGGTGGAGGGTGTGGCCGTAGAAGAGGGTATTGAGGGTGCTGTCTGTGATGGCGAGTTGGCGAAGTACTATGTAGGCTGATACCATAGTGAATTGCCATCAGCTCCGCAAAGAGACTTTCTTTAATCACAGCTCGGAGGTTATTTTATGTGAAAAGAAAGCTGTGCTTAAGGACTATTGTCCAAAACAAAACGCTCCGCAAGAGTTCGACAACTCTTTCATTTCGCAGACCCCACTACAAGAGAACAAGAAGACAGACGCCAGTGCGATCTTAGAAAGAGAGCAGGCTCAACCAATTGTTAGCGACTGGACGTAGGGTCACATCAACCACTGAAACTCGAAAACTCAACAACAAGCTTGTGACTCAAGCTTCTCCCTTGCAAAGTGTATCGAGCCCTTCCATATCTCATTGAATCCGCCCTCACCCGTTGTGATGGGAGGAAGCCTCAGGTCAGGCTGGATAAGTTACCGTGAAGTTTGCCGATGGCTTCGCGGTCAGCCGGCTTTCACTGCTTCTTGCATTCGAAGACCGAGTCGCTCCGACTAAGGTAACATCCCCTTCTGCTTCCAATGTCGAAGCTGTAAAGAGAGTGACAGGTGCCGTTCTCCGTCATGGGGGGCAGACGTCGGTGAGGGGGCACAACTTCCTCTTTGGTAGTGGTTCTGTGATGTCGGGCATTTTCACCTCGCGATTGGATCCTTTCTGGTGAATTTGAAGTGCATAATCCGTCCTGTTTTGAAACCAATAACCAGACTATTCGAGCTGTACGTCCAGAAGGTTACTTCATGACCAAGGGGTAATCTGAGGAGGTTTTGGCCATGGCATGTTATCCACATGTAGTCCCTATCCAATCTGTACTTATGCCCCTGAGCTAATGCAGTAGCATTACTTGCAATTGTATCGATCTCAATGTCCTCATATCTTATGCCGCTGCTCAACGATCTCTGCAGTGGTAGGCAAGACGGTGTTTGGTCTTTGACCATCTTGACACATGCGCCGCTTTTTGCATCCCAGAGTCGAACCGTGCCCTCGGTTGACATTGACAAGACATGATTGCCATCGGAAACAAATTCGGCAATACGGATACCGTGATCATGGCCAATTGTTCTCAAGCAGTCACCAGTCATCGCATCCCAGATTTTAACCATCCTATCATCGGACCCGGAGGCAATTAGCCTATCGCCCTTTGCGGGTGAAACAGCAACTGAAGTGACTCGACCTTCATGACCGGGTAGCGTGTGGAGACAGATACTGCTACTTGCATCCCAGATTCTGACACTGTTGTCTTCTGATCCCGAGACGATGTGCTTTCCATCAGGTGAGAAGGCGTAAGACCGAGTCCAGTTATCAAAAGAGTCTCGTCGTAGTTTGTTTAAACACACTCCGGTGCCGAGATCCCAGATTATGACGTCTTGACGATGTGTCAATGTTACGACATGTCGATCGTTGGGGGAAATGACAATCCCTTCGATGCTGACCCACTCAACAAATCCTTCGATGCTGACCGACCCAACGCCTATCTCGCGGAGGCAAGCACCGCTCTTTACATCCCAGATCTTAATTCCGCTGCCATCTCCCCCTGATGCGAGAAATTGGTTGTTGTGAGAAAAAACGACCAATCTGATCAAGCCGAAATGTTCCAATGTATGAAGACATGTGCCGCTTACATCCCATATCCGAATGAGAGAATATGTTCCTGATGCGATCAACTTGGTATCATAGGAGACTGCGACTGACAGAGCAGCATCAAAATGATTGAAAGTATGAAGCAAGTCACCATGAGCTGCATCCCAAATCTTGACTTCTTTGTCATCTGAAGCCGACACGAAATGTTCACCATTAGGTGGGAAGAACACTGAATTGATTTTCTGAGTGTGATCGCCTGACTTGTGTTCACAAACACCGTTGCTTGTGTCCCAAATTCTGATGGTGTTATCAAATGACCCAGTAACAATGAGTCCGCTAGCAGCTGAAACGTCAATTGAAGAAACCTGGTGGGTGTGGCCAAATAGCGTGTAAAGACAAGCCCCACTGACTATATCCCAGATCTTAATGTTACGATTGTTTGAGCTGCAGATGATACGTTTTCCATCAGGAGTGAAAATAAGGGCCTCGGCAGAAGACCCCCCCCAATCGAGTCTCTTCAGACAGGTACCACTGGCTATGTCCCATAACGCGATGATTTCATCGGCTGCTAGCGTTGCGATGAGTTGGCTATTGGGTGAAAAGGTGACGGGGTTGCACCACACAGTACAATCATCTAGCAACTGAATACAAACACTGCGCTGAACATCCCAAATTGCTATGTCACCCGGTACGTCACCTGACGCAATGTAGCGACCATCGGGGGAATAAGCCACCGATTCTATTGTACCGCCACATTCATATAACGTATGCAGACAGACTCCAGTAAAGAAATCCCACATCTTAACGGTATGATCATCTGAACCCGAAATAATATAGTTACCACAAGGTGCGATAGCAACAGAATTGACTTTCCTGCTATGGCTCCTCAGCGTATGAAGGCAGTCACCGCTTATTGAATCCCAGATCTTGATTGTACAGTCATCTGAGCCAGATACGATATGCCTGCCATCAGGAGAAAAGGTCACTGAACAGACCGCCCCCTCATGACCCTTGAGCGTGTTGAGGCGGGCGCCATTATTTGCATCCCAGATTCTCAAAGTCGTGTCATCTGATCCAGAGACGATACGCTCACCGTCAGGGGAGAAGGCCACTGCCCGAACTCGATCACGATGGCCCTCTACCACTTGTAAGCAAGCTCCCCATTCGGCTTCTACCACTGGTTTGGCTATGATCCAGTCTGGCTCTTCGTTCTTGAAGTTGTTCCGTATGAGACTCAGCTCGGGACTGAATAAGATGGCCGATGAATAAGTCTGCAACGGATGGTCTGCAATCACGCCTTGACAATACAGCAGAAATCTGCGTGAATCGCGGACCAGTTTGAGCAGATCAGAGCCTGATGGCCGTCTCTTGAGTAGGGAAGTGAATCTCATGAGCGCAGCCGCACCCTTCGGGAGGCTCTTGAGAAGGCTTAGCGCCTCAAGCCAATGGAGGAAGTGTTTCCTCCAAAATGCTATGATTTTCTCATCACTAAGGCCGACTTTGCCGGGTTCACCCTCTGTTTCACACAAATGGTCAATCCAGTATATGCATGAATATCCAGAGGAAGTCAGCAAATCAGAGTGAGGTCTATAGTCTTCCGGTAGGTGAAAGCCCGGGCTGTCGAGATTGTCAATGTTCTTTTCAAGGAGATCCATGGTAGCGAGAGATCTGGTGACTATCGTCTGATGGCCATCCAAATGTCCATTGGGAAAAACCCTGGAATAAAACTTCGACTCCTTGTCGATGAGATAGTCCTTTGCGGACTGGTGAACAAAGGAGACTGTCTGATCGCTCTCTCTGATTGAGAGCAATCCACAGCGCAGGATGATCCGTTTGGTAATAGTAAGGGGTTTGAATGCTGCCAATTCTCTCATTTCGCCTAACCGAAGAGGTCGGTAGGCGACGGTTGCAGCCAACAGAGTTTGTTGACAGGACTCGAATATCCCCTTTGGACTGTTGATGATTTGTTCCATCATTCTATCGTACATCCCCTTCAGGGTAGATGGCATCCGACGGATAAACTCATTCACGCCATCAGCATCCACCTGAGACTCGTCAATCTGCTTGAACACCAGTGATACCCAGAGAAAAGTGCCATTGGCTCTTTCCTGTACTTCATCGGCAACTTCTTTCTGCAGATCCTTAAGCTCCGCAATAGCACCAGATCCTTCATGTGCGTAAGTGTCGCCGAACCGTTTGAAGAGATCCGCCAATTTGTGACTGATGTAGAGACTCAGCCCACTGTGAATGAGATCTTCCACATCTCTTTCAAGGTCGAGGACCTGTCCGTATTCATTCGTCCGGAGACTCCTTTCGATCTCAACACTGTGACGACTCGAGCCGAGCCACTTGACATGCGGCCATTTGGACACACTTTCATTGATCAGGCTTACGAGATGTTTCAGATCCTCAGGCTGGCACTCATCCAGAGCATCCACCACTAAGTGTACTCGATTCAATTTTGGATCTCTGATCATCTCAACGAAGATGGCCTTTAACGCCGTGGAGGTGTTGCTGCTCTCGAAAAGCTTTGACCCTTGTGTGTCATACACCTTGCGAAGATGAGCGATCAGCGCGCGATTCTGATAAAGGATTTGGTAAATCAACCCTCGAAGTACTCGCGCATTGGCATCTTTGGAAGTCTCCTGGCAGAAGAAGAATGAAAAGATGTTGTTGTCTTCCACTGATTGTGAAAGGTGATTGACAATACTCATCAACAGCATCGTCTTTCCCTTTCCAGGACCACCCTTGATCCACAATAGCCGAGTTGTCCCGCACTTTTGCCAGGTAGTGAACTGGGGATGATCCACGATCCAATGGCAGGATTCAGAAATGAGGGATTCTCTTTCCTCTTGGATCTTCATCATGTCCGTTGCGGGATCTGTAAGGAACAGATGTTGCAGGCACTTGTTGTCGTCATTTTCTTCTTGCATGTCCCTTTGCTGCAGGGCCTGTGCCAGAACATTCTTGCTAATCTCTTGCAGAAACCAAGACCCTTTCTTCTGATAGTCCAGCGTGTTTTGATCAAAATAGGACCTGAAGCCCTCGCGGACAATGGCCTCCTGGCTCTTCACGTTGTCTAGACTCCCATCCCAGTCGTCAAGTTGGACCATGTCGCGCAGAAAGACAACCAAGCGGTTCCGGTAATATGAGCAGACGCTCCTGAGCTGATACAAGAGCAGCGCTTTGTAAAGGCCCACAATTTGCGCCTTGAGTTCCCATCTCAACCCCTCGTAGAGCGCGGCATCCACGTCACTTTCACCCAGAAAGCGACTGGATAGCTCCCAGTACCAATTCATGCGGCTGCAAATGTATTCAAGCCCATTGCGGTTGGATTCTGTCTCTTTTGCAGGGTTGGAGAGGATCTGAAGGCTCAGGGAAATTCCCGACCATGCAAGACCAGCTTCTGGACATGCCTTCAAGGCCAATTTCATGATCTCATTCACTGCAAAGGCGACCTTCATCCCCTCTCCTACACTTTGTTTGACTTTTGCTTCCCTTTCCGTTCTGTCCAGCCCTTTCTGAACTATCCTTCTCATCTGCGCCCGTCTCATGCCCGCATCCTTCTGCTCGATCAGATCTTGCTAATCCACAGAGGTGGATGCTTCTGAAGAATGAAGCGTTACTAGTGGGCCATTTTTGGTGGGGATTCCGCGTTGAGTTCACGAGCCAGGATATTCTCGTAGGCTTTCAACAGTGAGGGCTGCTCGCTTTTGAGACTTTCGTACGATTCATCCCATAGTTGCTGGGGCTCGGTCGGAAACTCTCCCTTTTCTTCTGCGACCAGGTTGGACGTGGCAGAGGCAGTCAGCGACTCTACAGCCACAGCCGCCGGACTTCGTGTTCCAGAGCCCACAACGAGTGGCTCAGGGGCTGGAGAGTGAGAAGATCCATTTCCCTCGGCTGTGGAGTGGTTCTTGCTTCCTTTGTTGCGCCTCCACCACCGGGTTAAAGAATGGTGTTTTTCACCCGTCATGGTGAATATCGACGAAGCACTTGGGATGGTTGATGGCACATGTCGACGAGGGGAAATTCGAATCTAAAGCCAGTGACCCCTCTGGCTACTAACCTCTCCAGACGGGCGCCAAAAAATGACACCAGGAGTCACATGAGCCAGTAAGATGAGGGGCAAGAGAGCAAACCTATCACTTCCCCACTCGTGCGCTCTAGTTTCATGCAGAACACGTAGCAATCGGGTAGCCTCTCTACCCCTGCAGGGTATAGTGCCGCCCGCTTTCGCCTCCTGCTGACGGTTTAGCTACATGGTACAGATAGCTTTGGTCCGAAATCCGGTCGAGGAATACAGGAGGGGTTTGTGGAAGCGATTTCTGGAGTGGTGAAGAGCCTTGCATGGCAGTCTCACAACATGCGGCAAAATAGGCGGCTAGCAAGATATTTATGTAACATCAGAGCTACGATTGGTTTCATGAACAAATTATCTCTCCAAGCGTCTTCTTTTGCGATAGGGAGGGCTAGCAGGATCTACATAGCTTCTTGATAGGACTTGGAGACAGTCGACGCAGATTCACTTTGGACGCTCGAGTTCCGGTTTAGTCCGGACTCGGGGATTGCCGGACTAGTATCTCTTACTACAATTTAGCCCTCATTAAACATCCTAATTTCACCACTTCTTATCAAGAATTATCGAGCATTGTTAGTCTTACTGTGGTTGAATCTGTCTATCTTCGGTGTTGTTTGTACACCTGCAAAATACACTGCCTTCGAACAAGTTTTATCCATGTCTGAACAATCGATTATCTCACTAAGTTTTGAGGTCAGCCCTAAGGAGGAACCACTACACAAGACATGTACTCCTGGGTAGACTCCACACATCTCCCAAACGGCGCGTGCTGATTTGATGTGGTCGTAGGGGAGAAGGCATAAGCAAGGTGGGCATAGGAAATTCCTACCGACGGGAAGGAAGTGGCGTGCGTGCGGCTTGGCCCGCCTCACAGTACTTTTCCAACCAACGCAGGGAGGAGTAAAGGAGGATTAAAGCAGGTCCTGGGGCCTAGAAGGAGACTCGAGGTAGGCAACCCACCAGCAGATACGCATAGCCGTCCAGATGTGACCCGGGTGAGAGATTCCTTCCGCTATCTCCACGAGTGGCTGCCTGAACTACTAGGTAGGTTAGGTAGCCAGCGGTAGTATTGCCACTACAAAGTAGCCAACAGTTAGCGGTAGGGTGATGTAGCTTGGATATGTTGTATCGATATATGGAGAGAGAATGTGAGATAACAGACATGATCCAAAGAAAGTGAAAATGATTAGAATCATGGGGTGGAGGTTGAATGCTACTAGTAGTAGTTGGAGTCGAAGCTAAGCTTTGACGTTGAGTAATATCACTGACTGTAGAAGGAGAAATGAGATGTAACTTACCAAGGACTACTACTGGTACCTAGTACCTAGTATCGAGTAGCTACTAGGTTACCTAATCAGTAGTGGTTGGGCTTTTCTAGCTTGGAGCGCCGAGAGCCCACCGTTATGAATGGAATGAGGGGAGAAAGTCAGCAAGAGGCAATGTCATGTAATGAAAAAAATGGGATTGAAATTCAATGTCCAAAAACGATACGTCTTGCAAGACTCTGACAAAAATCCCGCGAGCCCCAATGCAATACAACGAGAGAAGAAAGACGACGGTGGGATCATAGAAAGAGAGCAGGCGCAACAAGGGTCGTTAGCGATTGAGAGTAGGATCACAATAATCATTGAAACTCGACAACAAGCTTTGTACCTCCACCTTCTTTCTTGCGAAGTGTATCTAAACCTTCAAATATCTCGTTGAATCCGCCCTTAATTGTTGTGATGGGTGGAGGCCGCAGATTCAGGCTGGATAGATTATCATAAAATTTGGCGATGACTTCGCGGTCTGCCGGCCTCACTGGGAACACGGGGCCAAGGGGCGCCAGCAACTGGAACTTGCGACCGAAGGCAGTGTAAACCATGAGGAAATCATAAGTCACATTTGCCTTCCGCGGCTTTCCTTGATCAAGAAGCGTGATCACTTTGCCACTGTCCTCTCGAAACACATCAGCACAGAAGGCGGCGGAAGTGCCTTCGGAAAAGCAGTCCAGAGCTTTGGTGATGTTCGGATAGGCTTTCTTGATCTCGCCAATGGAGGCAGATGTCCGATAGTCGTAGACTGCATCGGCACCATAGCGCTTTGCGAGGTCGAAGGAACGTGGCGAGGCCGTGACCACAACCGTGTATCCTGCTCTCTTGGCTAATTGAATGGCGAAGAGACCGACGTTCGAGCCTCCTGAATAGATGAGAATGGTCGGTTGGTCACCTTGTTGCTTGCTGCGTCCGTTCTCAATATCCACCCGGGCAATATCAAGGTACGAAAGGCCCAGCATCGCGGTGGCGGCGGGAACTCCGTAGGTGGTGGCTTCGCTCAGGGTCATTTCGTCCGGCACCTTCCAGGCCAAGTCTCCATCGACTTTCAGGTACTCTGCGAAGGAGCCAACCTCGGGATACAAGCCACCGTGGACAAAGCCAGCGATTCTGTCTCCAACCTTCCAACGCTGTCCTGAATTCTTGCCGACCCGAGCCACCTCGCCCGCATAGTCGCAGCCAATGGCAGAGTTGCGCGGGGAAATGAAATCAATGTCTTTGAAGTCGATGGGGTTCAGCGCGACAGCGCGTACCTTGACCAAGACTTCATCATCGGTGATGCTTGGGATTGGGACATCCTTGACTTGCGCGCCCTGCCCAAGAGGGCTCCGGAGAGCGAGACTCAGGAGACGCTTAGGCAAGAATCGATGTGTGATGACCGCTTTCATTGGGCCGGGTGGCTTTTTGGCAATGTTCTGATCTCAGGACGAAGATAGGAAACACTGACAGATTGGAGCACTCGTGCGCAATACTCAATTAAACTAAAGAACTGGCGGAGACCAACGTTAAGGTAGGTATTTGAAAGGTTGACTATTTGGAAGGTCAAACGAACCTCAGGTCGACGGACGCAAGGTATAATCACCAGGTGATTAGCCCATGGCTCGTTAGAATTCGCAGTATCCCTGGAACAGCAGCGAATCATTGTGAAGCTGCAGCGCTTACAAACCACCACATTACTATGATATGAATCCCGCTTGAATCGCCGACTTGGGAAAAAAAAAGAAGGGATAAACTCCATTCCAGTTCGCTGGACGCCATTGATTTTGGCAAAGGCTGACAAATCGATCGCGCGGTTCCAATGATTGTTTGACAAACCGCTGCTTTGGGCCGACGAGCCACAGCGGTACCCATACCAGACGAAGTAGTCTGCAATATTGATTAGTGATATCCCCGATTGCCAACATTCAACCTCCCATTAGACCCTTCTTTAACCCCACTTTCATCATTTAGTAGATTTCTGCATACAGTTTCGTTCTGTAAGATATACAACAATCACAAAAATCACAAAAACTACATAAAAATTGCTGAATACCAGCTCTCATAGAGCTGGTGTTTGACATGCTTTGAATAACCAAGTCAAGCATGAACCAGACCAGGGGCCTCGGTATGGATAGACATCACAGGCGTTCATTGGCCACTCCTTATCACTGATAAACATGATTTTGAAGCTCACACAATTTTCGGAAAGCGCAGGGCCTCCCCCACATCATCGCCTTGAAACACAGGTGTCCGACCCAAACCTACTCATCTGCTGGTCAAAGCTGTCAACGTTAGGATGAATCATTACAAACCGTGAACGAACTCACCAGAATAAAGGAAGGCAGGTCACTCTACCTACACTTGTCGGTCCATAGCGGATCAATTATTGGTGATTTTATCAATTCTAACTTCGTATAAAAGCTACAAAATCAATAGAAGAAGGGTCCTATCCAGGCAGAACTAGCCTACACCTCTCAAGAATAGTAACATGCAGAATATACCATAATATATTACCGGCTGTATTATATTCAGGATTACTTGTACAAATAACAGATTTCCCTTTGTATGTGTTATAGACTGTAGACAATCTTATTCTATTAAGAGGCCTTATACACTTCGCTTAGTATATTACTGATTGAGGGGGGAATGGTAGAGATATGAGACTTTTCAAGTAATTGGTATGCATAAAACATATATGGTGTTTGCATGTGGCTCGCTGGCTTGCCTGGCTCGTTCGGATGACCATTACGTTCCTACTGACTGTGTTGGAATCCGACAGGCGTTTCCTAATTGACCAATCGATTGGATTTCTTCTGGAATTGGACAAACGGTTGTAGATTCCAACTTCCTTGCCCCGAAGGTCCAACCTTCGGCTCGGCATGTTCACTAATCACTGCCACCGTCTTCCTGCCCAAACCTAGATGCTTACAAATGTGTTTTAAGAAAGCAAGGGCGACTGCTAGAATCCAAAAAAAAAGAAAAAGAAAAAGAATTTATGCAAAACGGATATTGGCATTAGAGTTTGGAATACAAGAAAAGCTAAAAGTGAGGACAAGCAGCACCAATCAACGGAGCAGGACATGATCAAATAAGGAGGATTGTGGCTTGTAAGTTATCCACCTAAGGACTCGGCTTCCGGCTTCCGCCGCACCGCCGATCTCCGTGCATGCCAAACGTAGGCACAGGTACGAATACGAGCCTAACCCTGCCCTGAATTGGGATCCAGACCAGTCGCCCTAGGCCCCAAGTAGCCCTTGGCGACGCTGGCTACCTATCCACCAACGATCAAGGTCGCTTAATGGTGATACTCTAGGGATGTTGGCGCAGAATGTACTTCTCTAGATTCAATTCAATTAGATTTACATGCGTAACTAGGAACGTAGAAAACCCCCAATGTCAGCAATCATATTCAACTAGGCTTACATGAAAAATGCGTCGATCTGCGTGACTATAGAGTCGGTAGGAGTTACATGCTAAATGGGTTATATTCAGGAGGTCCAGTGCTAAAGTCTAGGTCAGAGACTGGCCGACAGCCTAGATACCTAATCCAAAAGTGCAGCTTCCTGGAAGCTAAGGTAGTCAGAAATTCGAAATCGCAGACAATATACTCGGCAAAAGAGCCATCCTCAGAATTAGCAGGGTTACCACCATGGGCGGAAGCGCGGATCCGGTCTCCCTTCTTCCAACATAGCTTAGAATCATCACCAACAGCCTCAACAACGCCAGAGTAATCACCGCCTAGCATGACACCGGACAGTAAGAGGAAGTCGATGTACGGCCAGTCACTAGGTTTCAAACCCACACTAACAGTGTTTAAAGGGCATTATCATCGCGGCGCTTGAGAATGACACGGCAACTGGACAAGCCTGCAGTCTTAGGTTCGGTAAAATGACGGCCTTCTGAGTAGACATTATGGAGGGAATGATATGAAGAGGATTGATAATCATAGGCGTGTGTATAGACGCATATTGAATACAGGACTGTCCCGAGGCTCTTTACTGACAAGTTCCCCGATCATCGAATCGGACGCTGCCGGTTATCAATGCAAAAGTTCTTTTCTATGGGTCCACCTTGTATCGATGACCCCTTTCACCATGTGTGATACATTAGAATATCTTCTGGACGGTTCCAGGTTGAAGGGCTCAGGGATTACGTGACCACGTCCATGGAGCGGATGATGAGTAATGTCTGAGGTCCTTATCTCTTTGCTCATGACTTGGATACTGGTGATGGACCATCAGGTTCGCTATGAGCCGGGTGCCGCAGTCATGGCACCATCATATCGGATATTCTTGTACACAAATCCGGCGACAGTCTTTAGTAATCACTTTCTCTCATGCTATAAAGGTCGCCCAGTTACCGGTTTAAAATAAACCATTATCCAAATTCAACAGTATCAAAGTACCATTCCAGCATGCCTTCTCCGTTGATTTTCATGACCGGTGCTACCGGTTTCATTGGCAGTGCCACGGCTGTTCAAGCTCTCAAGTCCGGATACCAACTTCGACTTGGCGTTCGCCAAAAGTCCGAGAAACTTGAATCATTGTTGTCAGAGTACCACGAACAAGTGGAATTTGTCATCATCCCAGACATCACCGAGGAGGCTGCGTTTAGAGGGAAGCTTGATGGAGTGGACTATGTGCTCCACGTAGCATCGCCTCTCGCCAACGGCACAGACAAGGAAGCGTTTTTTCCCCCCGCGGTGAATGGAACTCTGGCTGTGCTCAAAGAGGCAGCTAAGGTTCCCAGCATCAAGAAGGTTGTGGTCACTTCATCTATCGCTTCCCTGATTCCTCTTGCTGGACTTCCCGACGGCAGTGTCATTAGAGGTAAGTTTGCTACACATAGGTTTAGGACTGCTACCCCTGCCATGCTAACATCAGTTACCACAGAGGACAACGACTGGGATCTCGCTGTAGATCCCACAGCAAATTTTGTCAACCCCAACAATCCTGCAGCGACACCGATGACTTTGTACCGAGCGTCCAAACTGCTTGCGAACACCGCGACATGGGACTTCTGGAGGACAGAAAATCCGCATTACGCACTGGTCACTCTTCATCCGTCATTTGTCTTTGGGCACAATCTCGTGCAAGCTTCCGGCAAAGAGATTGAAGCAGGTTCCAATGGAATTATCTGGGGTAGTGTGATGGGAGGCGTCCCACTTGGAGGGATCACGGGTGTGCACGTCCAAGATGTTGCCGAGGCCCATATCAAGGCGTTAAACTCGAGGATCAAGAATGGTGCGAAGTATCTACTCTCGGGGCCGCCAACAACATGGAAAGAGGTGGCTCGGATTGCGCACGAGCTCTACCCCAATGTTGGTGTGAAGCTTACCGAGGGTGCCGAGGGCGCCTCTATGCCAACTGATACCACCAAAGCCGAAGTCGAACTGGGAATGCAATGGCGACCTTGGGAGGAGATGGTGCGGAGCGTGATGGACCAGCAACTGGGCTTTCTGTCAGGTTGAGCCATGGAATGCTTGTAGCTAGATCTTATTTTCATGATCTTAAAGCACTAGACAATAGTCTATTTGAAACAAGCGAGCCGAGAGTTTTGCTGTCGATATTTTCGCGTACGGGATTCCCAAGCTGGTCTTCTTGATGCTGATGCCACATTTCAGGGCCAATTAGTTGGCGAGACTTGAGGCTTCGAGTTTGAATCCTGTTAAACATATTTATTCTACCACACCTATTCTTTGATCAACATAGGTTAAAATCAACCTACTATAGAGGCGGATAGAGATAGTAGAATTACCTGAGATCTGTAACATTTGAATATATTTTATATAGACGAGATCAATTTGAACTGGCCTTAGAGATTTTGATCGCTTCATCTTCGATAAGACGTTGGCCCTTTTCTGTGAGGGAGAGGGAGAAGTTCAGTACAGCCCTGCATGAAGTCAAGGTTCGACCGTATCCTTAAGGCCATATCCCCGATGAAAGGTTGGTACAACTGGAAGGCGTATGCGATCCTAATCCTATGCCAGATCCTGTGTTCGAACTTGGTGAGTCGGGCAAAGCAACAGAGCTGAAACTAGTGTTTGAGTCTGAACTTATGCCAGTGCCAGAGATTCTCTCCGACCCGGAGCTAGAACCGCCGCAGGAATCGGGGTTCAAGCCTCAACCCAATTCTCGGTCGTGGGAAGGTCAACCGCCACTGCGACCTCTACAGGAGCCTGTTCCGGAAGCTCCAGTCGCGAGGCAACCTTTGCAAGGTGTCTTTTGGGGCCATGATGCTTGAGTCTCCTCCAGTAGGACCAATTTGAGGAAGAAGAGAAACAATAAGAAGACTCATGGTTGGAAAGAACCAGTCGAAGAGGATTTACGGCCCGTGGCTGAGCCAATTCCAGAAGTGGTCGCTGATGCACACATCTCGTAAATTTCTTGAAGAACAGGATATTCAGTTACAGATGTCGACTTGACCATTTTTCTGGGCTTTCTTACCGTGTTGTTTATTGTCGTTTCATTAGCCTCGTGGTTCGAATACTCGTTCTTGCTGATACACTCCGCCTTAAAGTCACACGGGCATATTTGCAAACCGCGTAATTGCGTTGACCGAGACTGAAATCCCAAAATGGGCGTAGTTTGCGAGCCAAGCTCGGGTTTTGTGGGCAACCCCGCGCCCAAGAGGGATGTTTCGTGCGGGGCTACCTTCCTTAGGCGTAGTCGCCGAGCCGTGTCTCCGGCATTGCGGAGTTGGTTCCTGCAGACAGTAAAGCGGGCCGGCCGATCCCGCCAAGTCTCCGAATCCTCCCACCTTATCTTCTGGTCGCTTGCTTCAGATCCGACTACGCGTCGCCTGCCCGGAATGAGAAGCGCAAAAGCGGGCAACCGAGAGTGCCTGAACCAATTCACTTCTCACTACTGAGTACCCTTGATCTCTTATGTCTTATACCTGATCAGTGAGACTTTCTGGTCATTCAGACTGTCGAGACTTGCCTGTCTGACAATCTGCAGGTGCTCATGCTGATGTCTCGCATCCTTCGACTCGGAGGAGTATTCCGTGAAGAGTCCAGCTTATAGCACCCCCGGGGCTATATTCCAATGCAGAGGGAATATGACGACATTCCGTCAATTTGCCGTCCGCCCCGCTGAGGCATATCTGATGCGTCTCGCAAGGCACCATGGTTTCTAGAAGTGCGCGTCCAACAACTTGCGGCAAGGATCGTCATGCAGACTACGCATGAAGCACTATTCTCAATCACGTCCCCACGTGTGCTTGTTCCAGTCTGTCAGACCACCCTCGGTAGTCACGGAGATCTAACGGCCGTCCGTCTCAGCCTTGGCTGGCAGGGATGCAGGTTATAAAGTCTCGCATTTCTCTCTTTGCCACCATCCAACTTTCTTCTAACCACCCTCCACCTCATTCCTCTCCTGCCTTAGAAGTCCAACAAACTAAGGCATGCCTTCCCTCGCCACCAAGGGCCTGGCCTCCCTGGCTCTAGGCGCCTCCCTTGTCCACGCCCAGCTGTGGGATGAAGTCATTCAAACTAGCTACGGTCCCGTGCAGGGCTTCCAATACTTCAACCAGTCGACCCTGGAGAAGTACTTCGGCGTCTCGGAGTCCAACGTGACCGCCTTTTTGGGTGTTCCCTTCGCCGCGGACACGGGCTACGAGAACCGCTGGAAGGCTCCGCAGCCGCGCACGCCGTGGAACGAGACGCTGCAGGCGACTGCGTTCGGCCCGGCCTGCCCCAGCCAATACGCCACGGATATCAGCGAGGACTGCCTCAGCCTGAACCTGTGGACCAACGCAGGGAGCGCTAGCGACAAACTCCCCGTCATGGTGTGGAACCAAGGCAGCGACGAGACCTCGGACGACGCATGGTGGTACGGCGGCGGCATGGCGCTCAAGGATGTGATCCTGATCACCTTCAACCGACGCGACGACGCCTTCGGCTACCTGGCGCACCCGGAACTCAACGAGGAAGGGCTGCAGCTCACCGGCCACAACACGTCCGGGAACTACGGCGTCCTCGACCAGCTGGAGGTGCTGAAGTGGGTGCGCAACAACATCGCCAACTTCGGTGGTGACCCGGACCGCGTCGTCGTCGCCGGCCAGTCCTTCGGCTCGTCGCAGGTCTACCACGCCGTCAACAGCCCGCTGTTCACCGGCTACTTCCACGGCGGTATCTCCGAGTCCGGCATCCGGTACCCCTACGACCCGCTCCTGGCGGGCCTGGCCACCTCCTACGTGAACATGTCCACCGCCTTGTTCCACGGCGTCAACTACACAACCTTCCACAACGCCAGCAGCATCGCCGAACTCCGCACCCTGAGCATGGAGGACCTGCTGGTGGGCTCCCAGGACCGCGTCAACAGCACCTGGATCGACCCCATCACCGCCCTCTCGGCGGGCTACCCGCTCATCTTCAAGCCCGTCCTGGACGGCTACGTCCTGCCCTCCACCTACCTCGAGACCCTGATCAACGGGCCCGCCAACGACGTCCCCGTGATCACCGGCAACACGAAGGACGAGTCCGGCGCCGCGACCACGACCTCCTACACCGTCAAGCAGTACGAAGCCTACACCAAGGCCAAGTACGGGGACCTGTATGACGAGTACATCCGCCTGTACCCGGACAACGGCACCGCCGCGACGGCCGACCGCTCCTGGAACGCCGCCGCCCGCGACGCCTCGCTCATCGGCTCCTGGGCCTACGCGACGGACTGGTACAAGGCCGCCACCTCCGACTTCTACACCTACTACTGGACGCACGCCCCGCCCGGTCAGAACCAGGGCGCCTTCCACCAGTCGGAGATCATGTACGCGTTGAACGCGCTGTACGCGAATGTGGACACCTACCCGTTCACGGACGCGGATTGGGAGATTCAGGAGCACATGTCGGCGTATTGGGCGAACTTTGCGAAGACCCTGAACCCGAACGAGGGCGGGTCGTACACGGGTAACGGCACGTTGCCAGTGTGGCGGCCGAACAGTAAGAACGGGACGCAGGTGGTGATGGAGTTGGGCAATGCGTTTGGCGACGTGGCGATCGCGGAGAAGCCGCAGGTCAAGTTTATGATGAAGTGGTTCCATGAGCAGACCCCCTACTAGAGGGGTGCTGCGCTTTAGGAGGGAAGAGAGGGAGAGTGTCCAGACGGGGTGGGTTTGGACAGACTGTGGCTTGTGGGATGCTAGAGCATGGCTTGTGAGGCTGAGGATCCGTTTCATGTTCTTGTCACTGGGTCTGGAATCGAAAATCAGTGTACTGTATGTATCAATCACTATTTGCCTGTCGTGCACTTTTAGTCCTTGTTCTAGCGTAATACATCTTATGATCATAGTGTTTGCTTGATGATGGTGACGTATTCGGTAAGCGGGTCGGCCATGCAAGCGGCCGGGTTGTTAAGAACTACTTTATGGGTAGTCGGCCGCAGATTAGGCAAGGCAAAGCACGATTATTTTTTTTGCAAGACTATTTTCTGGGGTTTCTAATGACAAGGCCCAGGGGCCATGATATACAGATGGAAAGGAAATGCTTGTGGACAGTCAATATAAGTATCCGAGCTGGAACGCTACTAAGTCAATAATCAACTGGGAGCCAGGTAGAGTACAACCCTAATATCATTGTGTCTATAATTGAAAATCAATTAACGTATTTCAATATGATACTAAAAGGCTATATACTATAAAGAATACCTAGTAGTGAATAGCTACTCTGCCAAGGAAGAACAATTCCATTCCACTACAAACTAGCCACTTCCCTCATCGTCAGGACGCCAACGCTCGTATCAATATATGCACCCTCTTCAGCTGGAGGATGTGAACGTTCTAGATCCCTTACTCATCCTTCTCCTGTCAGCCTCAAACATGGGTTTCTGCACCGCTCACAACGTGCCCATCGCTGATTTGTCCAAACTTGTTCTCTTCGCGTCCTGCCGTTAAGCATTCCTCGAGAAGATGCAGGCAGTGCATTAGCCTGCATTCAGTGCCAATCCAGTCCTCTTCCTGTCCGAGACTTGGCGTACATCCTCCGTTCTTGGCTTTGCTAGACACATCATCCTAGCGAATTGAGATTGTCTTGACAGCTTCCTAGTCTCTTGGCGTCGGCCAGTCCGTGGCGTCGAGTTTCTTGGCTCGATTAGAGTACTACATTGCACCTAGTAATATCCCACACGCAGCCCTTCCGGATAGACAAAAGCAGCCCTAACGATTGGGCAGTCTTAGGAATGAGGCTCCTCAAATACGAAGCACCACTTCATCTCGCAGGATTCTACACCTCAACTCACAGATGCACAATCCAATCGCGTTCGAGATGCACGGAGTCCAACACGAATAAGCATGTTCGAGGGCAACCTTCGCCTTTGGGCTTCCAACAGCCAAGTTGAAGTGAAGGAAAGACAGCGCCATATCCAGTTCTTCATATCACACCTGAGCAAAGGTATATAAAGTCGTGTTGACCCTGCTTCTTCATCCCCCATCAAACCATCCCCAGACCAGCAAGGCAAGTGCATTTCAAACCCTTTCCACTGATTCCTCCAACGATCAAAATGCATCTTCCAACCACCACCACCGCCGCCATCATCCTCTCTGTCCTCGCCCATTCCGCTATCAGCCTCCCCTGCCACGAGCAGCAAGCCGACCAAACCATCCTCGAAGCCCCCATCCCCACCACCACCACCCGCGTCACCACCTCCGAGCACGTCTTCTTCAACACCAACGCTAACTCCGGCCTCTACCTCTGCGAGAACGCGCTCTTCCGGGGCTACTGCGTCCACTATGCCTCTCCCTTTGGGCAGTGCAGTACGTCTGATTTCTCTCACCTACCTACCTACCTCTTTATACCCCACCAAGCCCAGCTTGATTAGTTATGACTGACACAAACACAAAAAAGCAACCATCACCGATCAATTCCCCCCGGGAGATCGCGGCGTTTCGGCCGCGGGTTCGGATCGGGGGAGTTGGTGTACGCTTTATTCGTGAGTTTCCCCCTTTCCTCGGGAGGACAAGTACCTTTTCAATTTCGTGGCCTGATGATTGATTGTAATGTAACCCAGGGAATCGGGCTGTCATGGCCAGGAACTGCAGATCCATTTCCCCGGCTATGAGAATCTGGCGTACTTGGGGTGGAATGATCGGGCGAAGAGCTTTAATTGTGCGGCGGAGTGAAGGGTGGGGGTGTAAGGACCTTTCGCTTGGGGAGGGAAGTTTGCTGCAAATAAAATATTTCTTTATTGGGGTAGTGTATATGGGAAACATATGAGATCCGGGGGGAGGGGCAAGAGATAACAGAATGATATGTGTCATTTTTACTGTTGTGAGTTGCTTGTTCGGTATTGAGAAAGTCAGGTAGGTGCCAGATAGATAATCAGGCAATTGATGAAGACTTTTATACTGGTTAAGGACTACTCTATTGCGATTTCAATTCAAAAGCCTGTGTATTACAACTACGTAGAGATGTGCATGCATCATAGATGATAATGGGATCTTGCTGGCCCCTTACAGTCAGTTGGCTTTTACCGGACCACCCAGGGATAGTCCTAGCTAGTGTATCTGTTCCAAAGTGGAAATGCAGAGATTTATACTTTGGCTAGATTACGAACTTTCATTTACTTTGAAGACTTCAAAAGAATAGTTTTTTTTGACTATTCTGTATGTTATTTAGAGTAGATAACGTACTTACTTTAAATCTCATATTCTACTAAGCTTTTTACACGATTTAATCATTCTGATTAAAGACTATAATATCTAAATATACTGATCTCGTTAATGTAGTGGTAAGCGGGTTCAAAAAGGTAGCCAGCTCACATATAGCCAGTTCACCTATGGAATATGTTGGCCTATAACTAATACGATGTTATCACTTATCGGATGGATACTGCCCCGTCGTACGCGTATGGCTTCTCTTGAGTGAACTAGATCTCTAACACCTAGTCCAGTTGTCTTTTCGACGGTCGTCTTTTCGACGGAACCCCTCAGGATACGCATCAAGAGAAATCTTCTTCAACATCTTCGGACTGCTGCTGGCTGGAGACATCCTCCGCCCCAACCGTCTCCGGCTGCTGCTGCCCCAGATACTGACTGACCGCCGGACTGGCCATGAGCTCGTCTCTCTGCAACACTCCAATTAGCAACGCAATCGCTTGAAAAATATGCGTCAGAGGCAACATACCCGCATGGCCAAACCCTCAATCCCTCGACCCAGCAAATTCATCTCCAACACGCGTAATCGCTTGACCATATCATAAACATCCGGCCTGAACATCGCCCGCATGTCCTCATTCTCGTCGATTTCAGAGACCATCAACCCCGTCTCCCTGAGCACCCAAGCCTGCGTCTCCAGCCTCTCAAGAATAAGTACCACCGCGCGAAGCTGAATGATATCCCAATGCGGATCCGCACGGAGCAGCTCGCTGAGATGAGCCGAATCCCGCAATTCCGCCCCCTTCCACAGAGCCTTCAGCTCACGCCCACCATCATTGGTCTGGAGGACCGTGAAATCCAACCCATCCTCCTCATTCACACACGCCCACCAGATGATCGAGCTCTCCCAAGCCGTGGTGGGCACGGACTCGGAATCTGTAGCCGAAGTATACACCCGCACACCCGGGGGCTCCTTGCAGAACGCCTTCTTAACAACCTTCAGCGGATCATCGTCCGGAATATCCAGATCCAGGAAGATTTGCTTCGCATCGGTGGTCTCTCGATCCAGAAAGCCGTAGGAGAATATCATCTCCGACGCGGGTTTCTCGTCGCCGTACCTTTTCATGTCCAGAGTAAGCCCCATACCTTCACCCAAGCAGCCCAAACCCTCATAATATGCGACAGGATGAAGACTTACGAGATAGTCACCTCCTCCCCGGCACGCACTCTCTTCTCGTACCGCAACTGCAGCACCACATTCCCCTCCGCATCCTCATCGTACAGCGCCTTGACCGTCTCTTCAGAGCTATGATTCGCCATGTCAATGCAGGGGACCATCGCATGCCCGCTGGTCGGGAGATCGACCATCCGGGACCGATACAGCGCGTCGACGTATTTCCAGTCCTCGAGCGTCAGCCGCGCTGCCTCCTCCCCAGCAACATCATCACCACCATTACCTTCAAGATCGTCACCGTCAGAATCAGCATCATCGCCACCCCACCAAACCTCCCGACACCAGTCAATCCCGCGCGTCGCCTCCCGCAGCCGCGCAAACTCCTTCTCCAACGCCGCCAGCTTCGCATGCACCGCCAGCCGCAACGAGGTCCCGCGCAGCAGCTCCAACTCCGCCTCCGAGTAAAACGTGGGCAACGGAATCTCCCGCGGCATGTACTTCATATACTCCGTCCAGGGGCCCGCCACCCCGACCGCTTGGCTGTGCGTCGTGCAATCCGGACTGGAGTGCGTGAGCTGCATGAGCAAGAAGATCAAGATCGCGCCACGCGGGGTCTGGCTTCTTTGGTTAACATGTCACTCATATATAATCCACCAAGCCCATCCCCCATCCCCTCGAGTCCAAAAATTCCAAAACCAAAGAACCCCCCGAATCTGGATAATAACAATGAACAAGGGGAAAAACTTACCCGACCAAACTCCCCAACAGCCTCCAGCACCGCCCTCAGCCGGCCATCCGACTTGGCATACCCATGCACCGTTTCCAACGACAAGATCAAATCCGGGGGCACCCTCAACAGGACCCCCGTATCCACGGCGCCAAGGGCGGACTCGCCCCCGGCGCGGTCTTCCGTTGCGATGATCCCTGTACCCTTGTTGCTGTTGCTGTTGCTGCTGCTGTCCGAGGTAGGAGCACCAGCATGATCATCGGCGCCGAGAGTACCGAAGACAACGCTTTCCACCCCGATTCCATTGAGCTTCATCCACGCCGGCAGCGTTTCGATCGGTAAGTGCGCGCGCTTCATCTTGACTGATGGGTTGACTCGGTGCTAGAAGCTATCTGCATCACAGCATATAGCATTATCTACTAAGCATGTAGTGTATAAAAGGGTGGGGGAAGGGGGATGTTTTGATTTGACGTTGACATTCCGCCCTGCCCCCCGTACTTTCCGTCTCTTATCGATAAGCATTCCCCGCCCAGAAACCCTAAGCCCTAGGGTCAAGCTCATTACGGCATGGAGACGTCATGCCGCGCCAAGAGACGGTCATGACCCATTACCGGGGTAAAAGTCACTGGGTTCGTGGAGTATAAAACCCAGCTGGGAGGTAGGTAGCATTGTCGTTGATGTCATTTTTCTCATACAAGTCGGATCTCTTCATAACAATTGCAATCTATTATCTTCCCAACTTTGTTATCTTTCCCTTCCAGTGTCGAGTCAAGGCAAACACTACGAGCCAGATATCTACAACCCCAAACACATTTACGAAACCGGAAGAATGACCATGTTCACCACGACACGCATCGCTTCGAGACTCCCCGGTCTGCTCGCGAGGCAGCAGCAACAAGCCCTTCGGATTGCCGCCCCAGCCACCACTGCGCAAGCCCGTCTGAATAGCTCATGGGTGGGCACCAAGAGCGAAGACCACGCCGTCAACCGGACCAAGAAGCGCGACACGACCGATGTCTCGACCGATGCCTCGGCGGCCGGGCAGGAGGATCGAGAGTCGAGCTACGGGGTGCCGGACAGCTCCAAGCAGGGGGGCGCCACGGAGCGCGGGGGGCTGAAGCACGAGCGCAAGGCCAAGAAGGAACATCCGAAGGCGCCGGAGCCGGTCATCGGGATGAATGATGAGAGAGGACAGGTATTTTGCACACCCTCACTTTCTTGTTGATGTGATGTGATTCCGGTGTCTTGGGACGAATTCGGCTAACTCACCTATTTCTCAGCGAGGTCATTAAGAACCGACGGACGAGGATTGCTGGCTTCACGCCAGTTAGTGTGACACTACTTGTTTTTGCAGTTGAAACGCTCGTGTTCTCTTCGTGATTGTAGCATCATCTCGGTTTATAGTTTCATTATCATGTTCACTGTACATAGATTGTATATGGGGGGAATCTATCGGCCAGGTTTGAAAGAAAGAATCTAAAAAAGGCAAGATTAGTCTTTGCATGACCGTTAAAAAACCACAGAATCCACTTACGTCGTGCTTCCCAACTTCCACAATCTCGTCCTCGGAGACACGAGTGCCACCGATTCCTTCAATGTATGAGATGGGGACATCTCCCATGACCTTGCGGGCAACGTCGCCGACTGTGCTGTTTCTACTCGTTGTCAGCACATTCCCTGTTAGCTTGATCCAGTGACTACTCACTTGCCCACGAGGACACAGTCTCGGAAGACTGCCGTCCCAGCTCCGGATGAGAAGGTATGGATATTGCGGACAGGGAACACGGGTACAAGCCCCAAGAGTTCCGCAGCACGCGAAAGACACTGGACCACACCGGTGGACCCGAATCGATACAGAACCATATCTTTCAAGTTTTCGACACGCCTGGGAGTCTCAAGGTTAGCTTTTCCGTCGAAAGTCAAGTTCAGTGTGCCGTACGTTTTCAGCTTCTCGTCCATCTCCTTGAGGCCACCTCCCTCCGGATCACCCATATCAATCAGGTCCTCTCGCATATCTACGAACTCGCTTCCTTCGATGTATTTGATATAGCCCTGCTTTGCAAGTCGGCGCAGGAAAACTTCCGAGATGGCGGAGCACAGCACGATCGACTTCGGATCTTGCATCTTGGCGATCTTGCTAATATTCTAGCGTCCCGCATATTAGTCCAAGGGCACATCTACTCCGAGCGGGGAAGCACACACCTTGTCCGCATCGGGATGGTCGATCTTATTCAAGGCAAACACGGTAGGGAACTTCTCGTCGATGAAAGTAGTGACCACCTTCTCCACTGTCTCATCCGACCAGGCCTCCAAAGGCTCCTTGAGCGCCAATTTATCCAGGCACCGTCCAACGATGGAGGATGTACTTCCGTAACCGGAGAACTGAGCCTGCAATGTATCCACGGCCGTTGATTCTAGCTGGAGCGTCAGAAAACCTGCCACAGATTCGTCCACCACGCTGTCAACTTACTTGTAGCAACATGTCTCCTCTTGATCGATCCCCTGGAGTCACAAAATCAGCTTCTCCATCTAGTCTGTGATTCCGAAACGCGACCGTACCATTTCTGCATCAGGTTGCCAAGCACCCACCGCACAATCTCCGAATGAAGCCACTCAATATCTTGTGAGGGATCGTAGCCGCGTGTGGCCTTGCCTGCAGACATCCGATCAGCCCTTTTCCGTCCACCAAGTTATCCCTCGAGGCCCAATCAGCTTAAACCCCCAGATATATGATTGTACCTTCTGCATCCGTCGTCCCGCTCACATCTACCACATGAATCAGCGCATCGGCATGGCGCAGGTCGTCCAAGAATTTATTCCCCAAGCCACGGCCCTGGTGCGCGCCCGGAACCAGACCAGCTACATCCAAGAGCTCGATCGGCACCGAGCGGCGGCCCTCCACGCAGCCTCCGTAGTTCGGTCGGCATTTGTCGGAAACGTTCAGTCTTTGGCAGGCGCATTCGATTTGAAGATATCCGATAGCGCGCTGGGGATCGATGGTGGTGAATCTGCGGCATGAATCAGCGCTGTTCGGTGGATGGTGGGCAGATCGGTGGGTGTGTGGGTGTCAAAACACACGGGAAGTTTCCTAGGCAGTGTTTATGACAGTAAGTATACGATGAGCGCCAAAGAGACTAGCTGTAGTAGCAGCAGAACATACCAACTTTGGAGGAAGCATCGGTCAAACTGTTGAGGGTGGTTGACTTTCCGCTAGACGGCTACAGGTTCCCCTCATTGGAATCAGCAGTGGATCAGACGGTGGGTGGCATGGAGAAGATAAAAAAGACCTTTCCCACCAAGCCGATCAATGGATCTCTTGGCATCTTTATGTATAGTATCCCAGGTGTAGATGAAGTGCACGACGACTCGGAAATAAGTAAATAGTTCTTTTGCGTCTAGGTTATGATGGGTTTCGTTCGAAAAAGCATTTCTGCAGGAGCGGGGAAACATTCAATTTCTGCCGGCTGTACGAGGAAGGCGGTCTGGCAGACTGCATGACCGTTTTGGGATACCGCGGCGGTCACTGCACACATCACCACCCCCGGTCTCGTTTTCTCGTTTTCGAAGGGCTGGGATCACGATTGAGTGGGAGAGCTGGCAAGTCTGGAGGCTGCTGGCTCTTATTAGACAAGAAAGAAAAGCTTGCAGGACATGTACCAGAGCACGAGATTGTCCATACCCACCTCTGCATAGTCACCATCCTGCAGTGTCTTGTTAGTATTCTCAAAATATGTATTGCGGTTCTTGTGCACAGCGTGCTCAATTGTCGAGATGAGCAATTCTTTTACAAGGGGGACATCTATAAAGTGACAAAGCACCGCTTTACATCCGCTAGCCACGAGCCTCAGCCGTCAAGTACAATCATGATGCATGGATTGCATTGTCGCGGTTTCGCAGACATTGTTGGGAAGTAAACTATATACAGGACGTAGAGTATCATCAATTCCACCACATAAACTGTGAGTTGCCCCTGGCACCCTCACACCCTCAGAATCATGTCCAATTAAGCATCCAACAACGGAGGGACCTTCTCGACAAGGTATTCGACGATGGCATCGGGGCCGCGCTCGACCTGAAGGCCTTCGGGGATGGCGTGGAGCTTGATGGTGGGGTTGATCGAACGAGCAATGGAGTGGATCTCCTGAGCCTGCTCGGCAGTCCACATGGAAGCGCTGAACTGTAGATCAAAGTCAGGACACATCCCAGAGGTAGAAAGTCACCCGCCAGCGAACAGGTGCTCGTGGCAGAGGAATTCAACTTACCAAAACGTCAGGCATGTGCTCCTTGACCTTGGGTTCGACCTCCTCGATCTCTGTTCGAGCTCGTGGTCAGTCAAGTACATGACAAAGACGTTCAGACAATCAATTCACTCACTCTCGCAGTTGTCAACGTGGATGATAGTGTAGCGGTCCTTAAGAGCCTCGATAAGGCGACCGATCAAGCGCTTAGCTCTCTCGGGAGCAGTGTTGACAGTGACGAGACGGAAGGGGCCCTTGGGAGACATGATGACTGATTTTAGAATGTGCTTTGATTTGGATTCTTACGAAAGTTGCGACGGCGTACCTGGTAGCCTTTTAAATCAGCGCAGAGCGCATTGCGACTTCGCCGCTTTCTCCGACCGAGATCCCCGCTGGCGACATCCCCACAACCGCGGCGTGGGGAAGTGTTGAAGTGGGCTGTTTAGTGTAAAGTGTAGCAGTCAGTCATCGCCGGGTTTTGTCCGAGAGAGAAGAGAAACCAAGTCACCAAACGGTTCAACCACCTCCGAACTTCCCACCCGGCCTCGATTCGCCATTTGCCCCACCTCTTATTTTTACCCCTCCCCGCACCAGAAAAGAGGGGTGGCAGCTGCGATGTCGGGGTAGTTATATGCCGCATTCCTCTTAAAAGCGTGGAATCCACTGTTCTACACATCTCCCACGTTCGCATCATACACTCACATACCCCATATCCATCCTTCACTCACCATGTCTAAAATCGCATCCACTTTCTCGCGTACGTGAACAATTCTGACCCAGAAAATGTTTCTAGCTGCTAAACCCCCAACCAGGTCTTGTGCGCTTCGTTCCCAAGTCGAACCCCTCCAAGATCCTTATCGGCGAGCCCGTCGATGCCTCCATTGATGTCGGTTTGGCTGTCTACAAGGGCCAGGAAGTCGCTGTGCGACCTTTCTCCGGCACCTCGGTCCTGAACCCCGGCCAGAAGACCGACGCGACCGAGACCATCGAGCGCATTCTTTCCCCATTGGCACAGAGCGAGGTCGGCACCATCCGATGCATTGGCCTGAACTACGTCTCCCACGCCGCTGAGATGAAGCTGGACATTCCCACCGTCCCCACGCTGTTCATGAAGCCCCCGACGGCACTCTCGGACCCGTGGCCCGCCCCCACCGTCCTGCCCAAGATCACACAGAAGGACAACACCGGTGACTACGAGTCGGAGATGGTCATCGTCATCGGCCGTGACGCGAAGGATGTGAGCGAGGAGGAGGCACTGGACTACGTGCTCGGATACACGGCTGCCAACGACGTTTCCAGCCGGACCTCCCAGATGAACCAGAGCCAGTGGTGCTTCTCCAAGGGATTCGATACCTCGTGCCCTATCGGTATGCATGACCTCCCTGCACCAGAAAGCACACCTTCGACCCCATCATATTAGCATATCTCTGACATGGATTAAAAATAGGTCCCGTCCTCGTCTCCGCCGCTCAAGTCCCCGACGCCAGCAAGCTCCACATCAAGGGATCCAAGAACGGCAAGGTCCTGCAGGACTGCCCTCTCACGTATGTTTGGCTGATGGTCCTGAAAATCTCGCCCGCAACATAGAGGCTAACAATATGTGTATAGTGACCTGATCTTCAGCGTTCCCCAGCTCGTCAGCTTCCTGTCGCAGGGCACCACCATCCCCGCTGGAACCATCATCCTGACCGGTACTCCCCCCGGCGTTGGCGCTGCCAAGAACCCCAAGGAGTTCCTGAAGCACGGCGATGAGTTTGCAGTTGAGCTGCAGCCTCACGTCGGCACTTTGATCACCAAGATTGAGAACCAGGCCTGAAATGTCATAGCAAGTTTACGATAGTATAGATAATAGATTTTGTCAAGCGTGTGCTTTAATGAATCCATTCGTAGCGTAGCATCTCCTGTGTCTTCAACATTCCCCAAAGAGCTCAGAATAGGTCAGCTAGGTTACGCGCAAAAACCGAAGCTTAGTCGGTTAGCATACATCCGCCCTCTGTACATCATGCGTAATGCCTTCTCGCAGCTCCATGCTTCATGATGGACAAAGCATTACCGGCATTTCCGTCAACTGGATGCATGCCGATGCGTACGTAGCTTCGAGGCCACATCCCCACGATGACTAATTCAGCTCCCCACAATCGCTGAACACAGCAGTTGCCGTGCGCCGGAGACATGCCAGTGCTCCGGTGGTTGAGATTGATATGAGGCGAAAACTGTTCCTCATCCCTTACAACCCTGGCTATTCTTTACCAGTGACTCCGAGGACCGTCAGTGTTGATAAGCGACCTGTTTACACACATTTCGTGATATCCTGATCACAACGTTATGTGCCATCGCAATCTGAACCGCTGCGCGCCCGGGTTATCCGACCGGAAAGGGTGGGTAAAATCAATTCCGCCGGACTTAATCAGTTCCGAGGGCCGACCGGCTCGGGTTCCCGCCTTTGCGTTAAGGACAACCCGACAACTTGCAGTGCACATGTTAGCAAACAAAACAACTCAACTACACAATTACTGTTTGATCAAGTGATGCGGATATATTGCCCGGAGAATCTCTCTGTGCTAAACAAGGCAGGTATTCATGTCTTCAATGGTACCAAGTCTGCATGCGATTGTTGCTACTACCTCTTCGACATTTCCCAACCCCTGAGCTAGGGGGCGGTTTAAGCCTACCTGCACGGCTACTACAGCGCTTTCGTTTACCCTGTCAAGCCTCTCCTACACACAGGAAACTATGTATTTCATTAGGAGTCTTTACACTCGAAGCACAAATTTCACGCCGTTCAAAGCGCCTCCTCCACGTCACACGTCCCGAGGACTTCCCCAAGCCCCCGACCACCCCCATCCCAGTCCCCGCACTTCACCCGCTCCGCCCGACCACCCAGCACTATGTGCAATGCCAAACCCCCAACGTCCCTCGGCCGGTCTTTGTCCATGTCCTCCACAGATATTCCCGCTAAATTTCCGTAGACCTTGGCGCCCTGGAGCCACGGTTCAGACCCGGAGGGCTAAGCTGATATGGGGGTCTATCTCGACATAGGCACTCAGAAAGTCTGGTAATGATTTCTGGGGTTGACGAGCCCCGTGGCTTAGTAAAATCAGAGATAAACGCTACCGGTCTACCGGTGTACTTGCAGGTGCGAAAAGGGGCTGTCCATCAGCTTGGTCGGGTCACTAGCCCACTTAAATGGTAGACATCAGCTTCAGGGTTCTTCGAGGAGTCGCTCTGATGTAGCGATTCGACGGGTTAAGGGTCGGTCAGGCGCGTTAGTGATATATCAGCGGCGGTGGGCGAGTACTTCCCACCAGGAGGTCGTGGTAGGTTTGACGAGTGCACGTTTGGAAACAACTCTGAGTGCTCTAGAACTTCCTTTGTGCAGGCTGACCGACCACTAAGGGAGAAGTATCGGAGACGCCATGGTACACAAACATTCGTTGAGTTGGCTGTTGTGGTTGAAGTATTTTCCTCTTTGGGTAAGGCTCGGTTTACTTGCATCTCCAAGTCCGATCCGATCCCGGGGTTTTGGCACTGCTTCCTCACCTATCCATATCTCTAAGCCACCTGGTTTTAATCTCAATCCATGGCGATGCTCAGTATCTATACAATATCGCCCTTCTCTCGCAGCACACACAACTGAATTCGAACGACGATCCCAACCATTAGTTAATTTCTCCTATCTGTTGTGATGCAATGGTGTTCGTCTTACGGCCCGTGCTGGCCCCACGTCGGCTGCAGCTGCAGCAGCCAAACTTTCCCCTCACCTCAGCTTAAGGGTCCCGACCTCCCAATAATTGCCTGCACCGCACCTGTCGCTTGAGTGTCACCAGAAAAAGAACAGACGACGTCACAAATGATACATACCTATGCAACCATTCACACCACGCTGTGAGGTGGCCGGCTCTGACGGATGCAAGCCACCGCAAAAGCCCAGCCGACTTGTACCCCCACCCCCCGCATGAGTCCCGACTTCCCAAATCACTAGTGGCGATGATCCCCGATAATTGACCGAAACAGTCTTGGGAAAGGGTGCCAATTACCTCGTTAAGGGTTCAGGCTCCGCTCTACCCCTACCTCGGCCTTCCTACTCTTGTCTAACCTGCCTCTTGGCAGCAACTTCTGGACTTTGAGTCGCGGTCTTCGTCGGCAAATTACTTGACTGGGCTGGTCTTGGCATCAGAACATTTTCGAGCATGGTGAGGGCTGGTGGGGTCAATGTTGTACTGCAGCCTGCATTCTGATGGTTTTGGATCAACATGCCCTGCATCCGTTGTCAGCAAACTCTGACCGAATGCATGCCTATATATACCCTGATGATCGGGCGTCGATCTCACCACACTTTCTCAAACAGCGCTATTCCTAAGGCACGGTCTTGACTGAGGATGCTAGGGTCCTTATTTGTTCTCGTCCCCCTAGTGGGCGCCGCAGTTATCAGATCGGAGGCATCTCACCATGACTGTCCTGGCTACAAGGCCTCCAATGTCAAGAAGGAGGCGAACTCTCTAACGGCAGACCTGACTTTAGCTGGCTCGCCCTGCAACAGCTATGGCACGGATCTGCGTGACCTCAAGCTTCTTGTGGAATATCAGACCGGTATGAACTGCTGCAAAACCAGGGTTTGTGCTGCGGAACTCGCTCACAGTTCTCATTAGATGAACGTCTCCATGTAATCATCTACGATGCCGATGAACAGGTATACCAGGTTCCCGAATCTGTCCTTCCCCGCGTGGACGGGGATAGCGGGTCCAGCGACACATCGGCGCTTGATTTCGACCTTGTCGAAGAGCCATTCTCGTTTGTCGTCTCAAGAGACGACGAGATACTCTTCGACTCCTCAGCATCGAACCTCGTTTTCCAATCCCAGTATCTGAACCTGCGCACCTGGCTTCCCGACGAGCCCTACTTGTACGGTCTTGGCGAACACTCTGATCCTATGCGCTTGCCCACAGACAACTACACCCGTACGCTCTGGAACCGTGACGCTTACAGCGCGCCCAACGGGACCAACCTCTACGGCAGCCATCCGGTCTACTATGACCACCGTGGCGAATCTGGCACCCACGGTGTTCTGCTACTGAACTCCAACGGCATGGATATCAAGATCAACAAGACCGACGACGGCCAGCAGTACCTCGAATACAACACTTTGGGCGGCGTCTTTGACTTCTACTTCTTCACTGCGCCTACTCCTAAAGAGGCGAGTATCGAATATGCCAAGGTCGTGGGTCTTCCGGCAATGCAGAGTTATTGGACTTTGGGCGTACGTTTT